CCATGATAGAGCAGCGTGGGCCACTCACATTTTTCTGATGGCTGGTTACCCACCTCCTCTCTCAGCAAGGGGCAGGAATTAACAAGCTGAGATAGATAATTAACTAAGAAGACTCCTGCTGCCTTCTCATGCTCATCAAAATTCTTGTGGCCAAAATCCTTATCCATTAAAAGCAGGAGCAGCCAGTCAGTCAAAAGTTGGTATTCTAAGAGTTTGAAAATTTGTCAGAAAATAACAAAAAGAATAACTGGAACCAGAGATAGAGCGCTGATGGTCAGATTTTAGCAGCCAGTCTGTAAAATTACTTCCAATGCTGTAACAACAAATGGAAAGCCGAGAGGAAATTCAAACTTGAGGTCACAAAGGGCATTGGAAATGAAAGTGAACAGGAGGGAGTAAACGTTAAATGACTACTTGTTTTTTTTACTCGGGGAATATATTAACCAAATATCATCCAAAGCATATCAAAGTTGCAGAGTTCACCTGACATTAGTAACAAAGGTTCTGGATAAACTGCGGAATGGCTGAACTACATTCCAAGGCATTAGGATGACATTGTCAGAGATTTATGAAGCACTGGTAATTATTTCCACTTACTGGATTCTGTGATGGAAAGTCTTCTACTCCTTTGATGCTTAAACAACCTTGATTCACAGACTCAATGCAAGATAGTGGAATATGCAAGTGATATCACACGATAGAGAGGGGGGTTGAACTTTGACTACACAGCCAAGAGAATATAAAGAGCATCTTGCAAGAATATACACCTGGAAGATCACTAGTAGATGATATTTAATATGAACTAATTGAACAGTAAAAATGAGGCAGATATATTGTCCGTATTGGATGTAACTTGTTTGCATTACTGGGCGGTCTATGTTGACGTCCAGAATACTGAAATTTTATGTTTGGCACTGCACAAATGCTTATTGAAGACCTGCACAGGTGAGAAGCCTCATCAGTTTCCAGCGACACTGATACACCACTGAGGGAGGAAGCTTACATTAATCCTCGGCAATCTCCTTAATGCTCTTCCCTAGATCTACTGGCAAGTTCCGCTTCATCAATTTCTGATTGCCTTCCATGTAAATTAGTTTTTTGTTCGTGTGAGTATTTTATGTTGGAACATAAATCTAAACCACTTCCATTGATAAAACTGTTGTGTTATATTTCATTTCATTTGGAATGTGGAAACCATCAGCTTGAATACACCATATATTCTCATATATAATTAACTTTTAAATACCAATAATAAATTAACTTGGTGTTCAAGGCAATGGTAAATTCACCAGTAATGCTGTTGGTGTACATTGCTGAACACCAACGGAAGATTGATTGATATCCAATTAGCACAAGTGAGAGCACATAACCAATGAGTTATTCCCAATGGACTTTTTAAGTCTCAGCTATTTTATGAGTTCCTGTTAAATACCAAATCAAGTCACTATCTAACTTAAATCCCTTTACTTCCAACACATTTCTACTCTCACTCTTTGAATCTGTGAGTGCCTAATCCCTCCTGAGATCAGCTAACTCTGCACAGACCTGAAATCAAATCTGGGACCATCCTGATCTGTGTAATTTCTCATTGGATGTGGTATTTCAACAACAGCAACAATTTTTTATAGTGCCTTTCATGTTGAGAGGATGTCCCAAGGCACTGATCAATTAAAGTGATGGGTGTGATGAGTGATTCCTTCAATCCTAAAAGTGCTTGTGAAAAGAGGGTCAGAGCTCGTGAGCAGGAATATGCCATTAATCTGATCAACACAGTTGCATTTAAAAATAAGTGCTTTATTCAAAGAGTTTCTCTATCTAACATTACTGTTCTGTTAAATAATTACGTAGGTGACCTAAGTCATGAGTAAGTTTGAAATGGTTATGGATCTCAATCCTGTTTTACATGTAAACAACCTGCACTTTTTTTTATATATATTCCACATTGCAATTGTGAGACAATGAAAACAATGTTAATGATGGTTATGAGTCGAGCTGAAATGTTTTCAATTGGGGACGGGTGAGGTTGAGATGCCACATAATACACAGCAAGCTAAAGCTAAGGCTAAAGCTATATAAGAGAACAATTTTGCAGTTCAAAAGAATAATTATGAGGGAATTAAAATCCCATTATATATAAAATGTCTGGTGTATATTAAATGTCTATTTGTATGAATAATATTGATTATGTAATTCATTTGTTACAATCAAACAGACTATCCTGCCAGTGTTTTAATTTTTTTCCCTTTACACAATATGAATATATTTTAAAGAATACACCCAGATATAGTACTATTCATCTCTTGTATTGGAAGAACAATTTGCTTCACTGCAACACCTGCCACAGCAGAAAGGTAATTCAATTAATTCGATTTTACTTTCAGTGCCAAGAAATAGTGTATATTTTCATTTAGTCCTCTGATCTGAAATGTGAGAATAGTATAACCCTTGTAGTATTTGTGTCATATAAAAATAAAGAAAAACTTGCATTTTTATAGTAACTTGTCACATCAAAACTCTTTTCCATAATTACTATTGTGCAGTCAGGATTAATTTTCGTTGGTGTACATGGCAGCCATTTGCTAGTTTCCACATTGCTATGACATGAATAATCATTTTATTTACTCTTTAGGATTGTTGACCAGGACACCAGGAGATACTCTTCTTTTTTGAATAATATCAGGGGGATCTTTACCATTCACCTGAACAGGAAGTTGCGATTTCAGTTCACTGTCTTATTTTCAAGAACTTCACCTTAGATTGTAAACTCAAATTCTGATGTGCGGCTTCGAACTCACAACCTTCTGACCCAGAAGCGAGTGTTAATAATTGAGCCACGCTGAAGAGAAGTTACACTGACAAACCATTTTATAACCTTTTTAGTTTAATGATATATTCTGTCCTTGAATAATTAATATCTTTCTTGGCTTTGGACAGATTAAAATATCATAAATCAAAACAGTAAAAATTGTGATCAAGCCTTTTTTTAAACAGGAAGTCTGCTATTGTTGTGACAAGAGAACTCGACTCAAGCAAAGGCTGATACAATGTGCAATGAAAAATTAATGTTTGTTTTCTGATACATTACTTCCGTTCTCAGTTACAATTTCTAGTGCAGCATAAGGCAATAATTTACAATTGCGATCTAAATTGGGTTTAATGTTTGCCAGATCAATAATAAGGCACACCAGCCTGTTGTGATCATAAACCTGGTTTGCTTTCTCTTTCATTCTTACAGAGTAAAGTTTTAGACAGTCTGCTTTGAATTAAGTGACATATTGGAAGTCAGACGTTGCTGTCAGTCGTAATAGCCACATTGCTAGGCAGTCATTGCTTTAATGTTGTTCACGTTTCACAATACAGCTCTGATTGACAATGGGTTTCTCTTTTCATAGCTAGCAGCCAGACCAGAGCTTAAAAAAGTCACTTATGCACAAACAAGACAAGCTGCAGTCAAATTATCAGAAAGGTTACCTTCTGCTATTAATAATTTGGAACACATCAGTGAGTATAATTTGTGTTTTAAAGAGTAAGTTATTAAAAATTGGAACCGAAGCTGAATTGCTAACTTAGATCATGAATAATGCAAAGGTATTTAAAGGTTGAGATCATTTTGCTAAGCTCCCTTTATCGCTGTTTATGAATAAATATTTCACTTAATATTTTTCAAGCCTATCCTTTTTAATCCTTGGAAAATCATATTAAATTTGAGAGACTTTATTGCATATAAATAGGATATTTACACATCGGACTGAATTTATAAGAAGCCAATGTTAATAAATTGGGACTTGAACAAAAGTTGTAAACAACTGGGATTTTTTTGCACCTAAATTACACAAAGCAGTATTGAATGTTACTGGAAGTATAATGAGTCATGTTCTTAAAGCAAATATTCAGATATCTCTATCATAGAAATCATTCACATTGTGTTAACGCCATGTGTGTATTGCAGCTGGCATGGTGTGAATGCAGTCAGACTCCCTTTTTTGCACAGTGGCCCAACAATTACATAGGAATCCGTACACCTTGTGGTTATATTACAGTAAACCTCACATAAATCATATCAGTTTGGACCATACATTTAATAGGACTTATGTAAAGTATGAGTTATGTCAAACTTGCATTAAATACAAAATCTTGAACGGGATTTGGGCAGCTGTAGGACTTAGGCGATTATACGTTTTATACAGATAAGACCTGTACGAGTTTTAGTGTAATTTAGTGTAGTTTTAGTCTGTTTACCTAGCAGTAAGTAGGAACCCGGTTGTTAGTCGATTGTCGGATTGCTTTTCCATGGGTAATAATCCCTTCAAACAAAAATCAATTTAAAAAAATAATGATTTGATCTCTCAATCTACGGGACAGTTTGCGGGACACTACAGTGCGCAACTGGCTGCCACGTTTTGCCTGCAAAAATATACGGTCAATTCACTCAACAGTACATCCTGTACATTCTGAGACATCAAGAAGACGTGAAAAAGGCGCTGTTTCTAATGTAAGGATTACTATTTCATTGATTTAAAATGTGTGTTTCCTTGGAACATCAGTGTACATTTGCAAACTAGTGGAGAACAGTATAGTTCTGAGCTTTATCTGACTTGGAGGGCTGGGTTTCTCTTGCTCCCTCTGACTATGTCTAACTTTCTCCCCCTCTGTGTGTGCATGTGTGACTTTCTCTGTCTGGATATGTGGGTGTAAGGTTGATTCTGTGTCTGTGTGTGTGTGTGTGTGTGTGTGTGTGTTGATGTGTGACTCTGTCTCTTGCTTTCTCTGACTGTCTCCTTCTGTGTCTCACTGTAGATGGGTCTGTGACTAGTCCTCTCTCTGTCTCTCCCCTGTCTGTGTCTGTGTGTGTGTGTGTGTGTGTGTGGTGTCTGACTCATTCTCTCTCTGTCTTTTGTTTTTGTTCACATTATTATTTGGGCTCTGCCTCCAGGAGCTGCACTACCCGGATCATTCCTGACGTCAAGACTGCTGTTGCAAAGCCAACACCATCTTTGTTGCGAGTGGAGGGACTGAAGGAAGATCCTGTTGAATATCCTGAACTCAGGAGTCTACAGAATGTAAGTAGAACCAACACACACACACACACAAGGGAAGCTCAGCTACACACACACACACACACACACACACACACACAATACAACATTTGCAGTCAATGGAATCAGCTGCATTGGCACAGATGTGCATCTTTATACATATTTTAGGTATTAATCTCCTTTGGAGAGCCCCAGCTGATCAAGGCGCTGTCCTGTTGCTTTGGTGCTGAAAGGTATTGATCCTCTGGTCAGGCTGCTGGGGGGTGGGGGTGGGTGGGGTGATCGATCAACATCTATCTATCTATCTATCTATCTATCTATCTATCTATCTATCTATCTATCTATCTATCTATCTATCTATCTGTCTGTCTGTCTGTCTGTCTGTCTCTCTCAGGGTCGGTTTGAACTAAATTCCTCATGTCTGCAAAGGGAGTGTGTGTGTGTGGGTGTGGGTGTGTGTGGGGGGGGGGGGGGGTGTGGGGTGGGGTGGGTGGGGGGGTGTGTAGGTGTGTGTTTTGGGTGTATTGTTCTTTAAAGAGTACAGTCGATGCCACTCTGTGTGGCTAAAACAGTGACACATGTGTTTGTTGAGCACTCTTCCCCACCCAGGATCAGAACTGTGATGGTCAGAGTGTTAATGTTGGGGGGGTGGTGGGGGGTATCAGTCTCTGTGAAACTAAGGCGAAATGGATGAAGTGGACTTTTTTTTTTCTTGAGTATCAAGTATTAGAACTGAGTTCTGGGTTTGCGTACTTTTGAGTGTATGAGTTTCACATCTAACACTAGTAAATGATTACTTAAGGCTTGATTGTACTGAGACCTGCATTTCATTGTAAGAGGATGTAATGCGATATCTGTTATCATGTATTCACATCCCAGCCTTGTCATCCATCTAGTTTCAACTGTTAATGGTCGTTGATCATTCTGGAGGATATGAAGGAATAAAACCTCGACCACAATGATCCCCTTCTTTACAGGATTAACCGAGTCTTGTTATCATTGCAGCTCAGATGATAATTCATTCTTTTTTTCCCCCCCATTCCTACTACAGTATCAGTTGCGGGCCTTTAACCTGTCCTTTTTTTTCATTAAGTGAAAACCATTGCTCATTGTTCAATACGGTTCCAAAGTTGTAAAAAGGTAGCAGAAAAAACAAGTAAGTGGAGAGCAGGTGGTTAGATGTTGCCAGAGATGTGTCAGCAGAGAATATTGAGCGAGATAGGTTCCACTTGAGTGGGGTCCAGGCAAGAATACGTTCCAGTATCAGACGGTACTGCGAGTTCGACTGAGTAAGAATGCAGACACGAGTAAGATCATATACAACAATAACTTGCAGGACACTCTATCCAAAACGTGGAAAGGTGCAAAAAAGGCTTTGGATCAATGACTAAAGTACGAATAAATTACTAGCATGAGAAGAGTTATGACAAAGATCTCTTCTGCCTCTATTCTCTGGAACTCTATCCTGGAGTCCTTCCACCTCACCCCATCCTTCCTAATTTTAAACACTGCTTTAAGACTTGCCTCTTTGAGCATGTATTGGGTTACCTTTACCCTCATCATCTCTGCTTCTCCCGCCCTCCTCCCCTCCCCCTCCACCAGCTCAGTAAACAACCAGCTGTGTGAAGAACTTTCAAGATGCCTTCTGGCATGAAAGACCTATCTTAATGTCCATTATATTCTATGAATTCTATTGCTGTGTTTTAACCCACAACCTTCTAACCCAAAGTTGCCAACTAAGCCAAAACTGTTAGGTCTACTGCAGTTTGTATCTTGCTAATTCTGAATGTGAGTAAGTTGTGTGTTACAAGGCTGTGATGGCTGTTTATGAATCTATCTCTTTATATGTTTCCAGTTATAGTTTTTTTTTGTCTATGATCTATCTCCAAGTTGTGTTGGGGGTTTACAAGCTTCTATTCTTACAGCTGCTTTCCTGTGTTTCCACTATCCACTGTACAGAAATTATGGCTACCACAATTGGGTTGTAATAGTCCTGAAAGTTAATGGTGTAAACATATATAACTTTGTGTATATGAAATATATATTATAAATATAAGGTTAAGAACATAGGAAGAGGAGCAGACCATTCAGCCTGTCAAATCCCTCTCCACCCACCATTTTATTAGATCATTGTGTGCATCTCAATAACATTTCCCTGCCCTGTCACCATATCCCTTGATACCCTCTTAAATATTTAATAGTATGCTTTTTTCAGCTACAGCCAGATGTATGACATGAAAAAGACAATTGGGCCGCTCCAGCATGATTCACTTTGGATTATGATCATTGCCCTTTGTTTTTGTTGTCCTCTGGTGTGTGTGACTCAGTCTAAATGGGTAATCAATAAAATTGGTTGCATGCTTTAACTTGATTGAAAGGTGACTCAAGGATACTTTATTTTCAAGAATGTTTCTTCAGATGACTAATGTGGTTTTCCCCCTTGCTGCTACAATTTCATCCGTTAATTATTTACTCTGGGTCCTACAGACACTTTGTTATTTTGTCCAGTGCCATTTGGAGATCTTTTTCTTTAAATTGGAACAGTATTCACTACAATACAACAGTGAGTTTTAAACATTTTGAAAATGGAAGTATGTAAAATAAAACTAACTTTACATTTAGCATAGTTTAAAAAAGTTAATCTACTCATTAACATTTTCATAGAGTTTAGTAAAAGTCTTAACTAAATCCTATTAAACCTATAATTTTTTAAATAAAGAATTGGAAAACTGTAGATTATATGGCTTTCAAATGATTTAATGTCAAAAACAAAGAGTGAAAGAAGAATGTCACAGGAATTACTGTAAATTGTACTTTATCTTTACAAAATGAGCTCTTATGTGGCTACAAAAGAATGCGTTGCATGCCAACATATTTGTGTGAAAATTTATATTAAAATGGCTCATTTTAATGCCAGGACTGCTGGCACTCTCAAGCACAACAAGCTGGATGAGTCATTTATGAGTCATTCGGTTTATTAATGTCTAAAATAACTGAATAACAGTATTCACTGCAGATATATCAATCTCTTTGTTTCTAAGACTGAGATTTTAAGAATGTGAATAAAACTGTGTACATGACCATAAATAGTGGAAAAAATTGACAATGATTATTTTATATTAGAAAGAAAACACCGTACGATTATTCATAGAAGGTGGACAAAAACTTTGTTTACCTAAATAGTAAACCCAGCCAGAAGAAAGTAAACAAATATTTAGCAATAGATTTACTTTTAATCAAGCTTGACACATTTTTATACGCTTACTCACAATCAAATATTTTGAATGTCCAAACCACTATCCAACAACAGCATCCACAACAACAAATTACATTTGTATAGTGCCTTTCACATTGGGAGGACGTCCCAAGGTACTATCCGTCATTCCCATTTTGTGTGTGTGCGTATTTGTGTGTGTTATAATTACAATAATGGCTATATTAATCTTCTTTTGATCTGAGCTACAATAAACCTACACATCCTTAGGTTTCTTCTAACATCCTGTTCCTCTTTTTGCAAGTACATTCTTTCCATGGCTGCCATGCCATTTCCTTTGGATCAGCTTGTACATCTACAATCTACTATTCTTATCCATTTTCCCAGTCGGCCATGATAAAACTGTTCCCTCCAATCATACCGTTCCCTTCACCCATAAATTTACTGTCACTAAGCTCTGCTCCAGGCTTCCATTACTTCTGTGGAGACCAGGAAAAAGCTATCACTAACCCAGTCCCCAAGTTTCCCATCTTCTATTCCATTCCTTAATGTGCAAAATTTCCAATAGTTATGTTGATGAATAATGCTCTCAACTTACCACAGTGGGAACAATTATACATTGCCAATAGAAAAGCATCCAGTTGGCAAACCTAAACAAACTTGATACAGTGACTTGATCATTATGACAGCTTCATTGCTGAAATATTAACTGTAACCTACCTTAAATATAAAGACATTAAACAGTAAACTTTTTTAAAAACAACTTATTTTCTTAGCTTTATCCTTCTATGATCCCTTCTGCCATATTCTCTCAGTTCTAATGTTTTATTACTTTCTACCGTTTTATCGTCCTATTTAATTTTTTTCTCTAACTTTAAAACTTTAGCCCTCACTTTTCTATTTTCTTGTTCCAGTCGTACCATTTTGGAAGTCAAAGTACCTTTTTGTTAAAACCAGTATTTCATTAACCGAAAGCCTACTTTACAGAATGGGTGTTGCAGCCAATGAAGCATGAAAGAGTGAGTGAAGTTTAACAGGAGGCACAACAGACATAACGATGTTTATAAGTAATTTGTGAGTTAAAATGAGTTAAACTCATAGATGACCACCCCCGAGAGATTATACCTGAACAAGTCTGCAAGGGTTAAAGCAATAACAAAGGGCAAACTTTGTTTTACTGATTCTACAAAGCTCCATTCAGGAGGCCTTTCAATTTTATCTGTTAAGGAACGTTGGAAGCCTTTTCTTATGGGTAAGTGTTACTATGGTTACGCACATTTATTTGGAACTGATAGCACGAGCTGCCTTGTCTTTTGTTGCTCTTTAGATATGTCTTCGTATCAGTCTGAAAATTGTCGCTATACAGAAGCAATGTAAATCCATCTGATGTTGAGATACTGTGCAAATCCCCAAAGGGGGTGCACAGGCTATAAAATGATTTGTCATTTGATACCTAACCTTTCATTAGCCTAACTTATTCTTGATGTCAGAGTGATATGTTTAAAAGCTGGAGAAACACAGTGCTTTTTTTGTGTACGGTATTGTACACCCTTATTTTGTATAGAAGCTTACATTTCTCAATATAATATGTATATCTAATATAAAATGCTAGCTTATAGTTATCTACAATAAAAATCATCTGTCACTCCTCTTTAATGAACCCAAATCTTCCTTATTTACCCTCTTTATATTGTCCACACAGCTTTGAATGAGTAGCAAATTTGCTCAAATAACTTACGTTATCAGAATAATTGATCAGATTATTTAATTGTAATCACACCCAGATACATATCCATTGTTCCATATTCTT